TTAAATAACGATAGACTTAGTGACGGAATTGCAAGGATTTTAGCGTCTATAATTTAGCAACACCAATTTCATCGCTAATATAAGTGAAAATAGCGACAATATGGTGACGGACATAAAACCTTACAAACAACTGTTTTAGATCAATTTAGCGACAAACGTTCAACAAATTAGTAATGAAAAATTTGTCACCGAAACAAATTTCGTTGCTAAGGAAATAACGTCCACCATATTAGAGACGAAATTCATATTATCTCTAATCTATCGCTAAGAATATATAGCGATTTATTTTTAACATATAGAGACGAAAAAATCTATCACTATCTCTTCATATTATTCTTAACTTGATACATCATGTTAATTAAATCTTGGTCTTTCAATTCAAATAATGGCTAGAATTTTTTCATGTAGATTTTATGTTAAATTTACCAATTTAACCATTAAATAAATATCAAAATAAAAGAAAGTATTTAAATTTGAAAATCAATTTAATTTTTAGCACTCTCTTTCTCGGTCCGTATTACATAATGCAATAAAAGGAACAACATTAGAGGGGCACAGGATCCTTTCCTATTCTAGATGAAACTTTAAGATTTTATTTTATTGTTTCCTTCTTCTCTTCTTTTCTTCTAAAAACAATCACGGTTCGATGATTGGTTTTAAGAAAATTGATGGATGTATTATTCAAAATTAAAAAAAAAGACTTGTGCATAAATAGCATTAATAACAAATATGAAGTTTAGCATCGACGTCATAACAAATTTATCGATGGATAAAGAGAGGTCGGATGGATAAATAATACATATATTTATCGATTAAAGTAGCAAAAATTGAATGTATGTTCAAACTTCTCAAGAATTATATATATGTGCGATTAGCTTCTTGAATGTTTATCATCATGAAAAAAAATTGTTTTAAGTTTTGAAATTTTTGCCATAATGTAATTATTGGTTACATAAGAACTAATTTTCATCCATGTTTGTAGGCTATCTTTTATTTGTGCATTAATTTTGTAGAGAGAAGGTAACGTTAAAAATTATTTTTTTCTAAATATAAATATTTCCTCTTTTATTTTCTATTTATTTAATATCAGAATATTTAATTTTACTAAAATCTACGTAACAAAATTTTAGTATTTAATTTGAATTTTAAGCTAAAGATTTAACTAATACTATGTATGATCACTACAAAAAATCCGGCATATAGCAATGGATTTTTCCATCACTTTATGTCAAATATTCGTCGCTATATACCATTAGCGACATGTTAGAGACAATTTTAATTTAATCGTTAATATGATGATCGTTATTTTCTCGTTGATCCATCGTTAATTTGTTTCAAAATGGGCGACCAATTTTCTACAGACTAGCCACCTTTTTTTCACATACAGCGATGAATTTTCGATCGCTAATCCGTCGCAAATTTGATGTTTTTTACTTCCAAAAAATCCATCCAATTTTGCTCAATTTTTACCTTTAGTGACATTTTTTTCTTGCTAAATTGCGAGGGATTTGTCATTTAGTGAAGGATATTCCATCGTTAAATCGAAATATTGAAATTAGAGACAGATTTGCTATTACGTCTTTTTTTTTTAAAGCAAATCCATCGTAAAATTGTCTCTAAAGCTTCGATAAGTTTTACCGTCAAATTTAGAAACGGATTAGTAACGGTTGTTATTTCATCATTATTCCGTTGTTATTTCTAACAAATAGTATTTTATCACCATTATTTAATGACGGATAAACTTTCTTCGCTAATTTCTTTTCTTTCTTTCTTTCTTTGTTTTTTTTTTTTTTTTTTTTTATATAGCGGGTATTAGGAGAAATGTGAGAGGAACTGACCTAGTTGTCCAATCCGATCAAGGTTTGTGTCTTCGAGTTTCAAGTTGACCCATGGATCAGTGGATTAGCCCTATGTATGTTAAAAGTATGTTCATACACAATTGAGGTTTCGAGTTGACCTCAATTGTATTTTTTGTTATACAATCCTCGTGTATCATGATATGGATTCGAAACCCATCTCCTATAATTTTGGTTTTCATCAACAATTTATTTATTTATTTATTATTATTATTTTTTTTTAAGACTTCATTACGGTTCTGTGTCATGTATTTGAAACGAAAATCTTCACATGAAAAATCAATCCATTGTGCTATCAAAATACACAACATTCTTTGAGTATATCTTAATCTTGTGGACAAATTATGGAATGTCATGAATACCATTCAATAATTATTGGTGATTCCACATTATCCAAAAAAGATAATTAAATTGACCACTGCAACCATGCTGATTTTTGGATGGTTCCCTTCTTTTTTTTTTTTTTTTTTTCCCTCTGAGCAAAGCCTGACGCAAACACACCTTTTTAAAGGGAAGACCAAAACCTTCTTTTATGTCATACCCTTGTTTTTGATGAGCAACTAAAGCAAACGACATGACGGCTTTTCTCAGCCTTTTGTCCCTCACATTTGCTTCAGACACTGCTAGCTTACGTTAGCCCAACGTTGACTGCTTTCCCTCTTTTCTTCTTCTTCTTTTTTTACACCTTTTTACCACCCTCCCATCAGCCTCCTCCTCTGCCTCTTTACCTTTTTGTCGTTTTCACTTTGAACAGAATCAATTTGTTAAGTATTACTTAGTAGAGTAAGTTCCAATCCAGCTTGTAATCTTTGAGTGCTCTATCTCTACGTGGTTATCAATGCATGCCATGTTCTTATTATATTTTTTAGGAATTTGAACTTGGTCTCATTTATTTTTACTTTTTTTTTTTTTTAATTTGTTACTATAGAAAAAGAGGTAAGGAAATAAATATATATGCAGTTGAAAGTCTGTAATGCATCGGTATTGGGATCTGACGGTGCTTTTGTCTCGCCTTGTGTTTCGACATTGTCATGAGGGAATGTCTGTTTCTTCTGATCATGCTTCAAAGATCAACCCTAATAATATAATATATATGTGCATTCATCCGATATTATACTACTTAAAGACTCAAATTTGGTTTTGCACGCTTTGACATGATATGTGTGCTATTACTCTTTATTAGTTTTGTTAGGTTGGAAGCCAATTAATGACAAAATGAAGGAAACATTGGAAAGTGGCTCGTGAAATGGTGGACCTATTAGCTTCTTCTCCTCTTCTTCTCTTTTTTCTTTTCTTTTTCTTTTTCTTTTTCTTTTGTTTTTTTGTTAATGAAGATATTTTTTAATCAATTTATTTATTTATTTATAGAAACTAAATTTATTTATTTAGTCTGATAAAAAAACTAAGCAATCTAGGTTAGAAATAGAGAATTCATAAAAAAATAATTTTTTACATGAGATTTTAATCTTAATAATTAAAAAGTGAGCACATATATATATATATATATATATATATATATATATATCTTTGAATAAGTTTCATATATGAAAATTAAATTCATCCATTTGGTATGATTAAAACCAAGTCATTTATGTTAGAAATAGAGAATTCATGATAATTTTATTTTTCACATACAATTTAACTAAAAAGTCAGCATATATACCTCCTGCATGCTACACCAATTCTTATTGTGCCTTCTTTGATGTGATATGTTACGACATAGATTAATTTGGAAGGAAAACTTGGTTTGCAGGATTGGATGATATGTGCCATTACTCTTCAGTTGCGAAAAATAGAAGAGTTGATTACAGGGAATTACACAAACCCATAATTCTTTCTTTTATATTTTAACGATTTTGTTTCCTTGCAGGTATTTTATGTTCTTAATTAAATCAGACGCGTAAAGAATAAGAAAGATAGACAAACATGTCTCTTGCTAGACAAAGATGTCTCTTTGACATGGATTTCAAGCTGTTTCCCTAAACTACTCTTTTGTCTCCCAGCAGTTCACAGTTTAGTTCAAAGTAAACCTTCTCCCCCATTTTTGTTACAATCCCAAAACCATGGGAACTCACACTTAATTCAGTCTTTGTTTTTTTTTTCACTACAAGCTAAGAGAGTGGGAGGGGACCCTAGCCTCTATGGTCAAAGAGATTATGATGGCCTTTGTTGCTGCCCATGTTTGAGCAAGAATGATGTACTCTGAAACCATTTCTGCTAAAACTCTTTCTTTTTCCTCGTTCTCCGTCTCCAATCCCATTGTCCGACCAAAAGGCAAACATATACTTCTACAGAGGTTGGTTGAAGGCTCACCAGACACGTCATATACACGTGGTTGTTTCATCACCACCGTCCTTTGTCTCCACAGTATCAAGAGTTTTATTTATGCTTTCATTTGGATTGCTTATTTGTTTTTTAGATTGATTATATTTTGTTAGCATAACAAAGATATTTGCCCTTACTAATATTCTCGTTAAATTATTTTTCGAGTACAGCTAAAGTCAAGTGCATAGTTTTAAATAACTTACGATAGTCGCAATCACAATCGTATAACATAATGACCGTTATTTAAAACTATAATCAAGTGATTCAAAAGTTATGCTAAAAGCCTACAACTCATCCTGAAAAAGACCAAGTTACAGATACTTTGTCATCTTGCAAGCACTTTCAAATTTCAACAGATGAAAATTATACGCCAATAGATCACATCAGTAGGGCTTAGCGCAATTCCGAGGCACCCCATAACCGGAATCCTCGACAAGTGGCACAACGATGCAACCCAAACAGCAGGAAATGAAGCCACAAATCCACCATCTTAATTAACCACACATCCAAGAAACACTTAAGCCAGTCAAAGGATTGACGTATTAATCCAGCAGCAACCAACAACAGAAAATGGCTCTCATAAATTAAATCAAATCTATTTCTCAACGGAACAATCTAACAATAGGAATTTTTTTCAACAGCAGCAGTTAAATAAGCAAGTTACAAGCATTTACTATGTGCAAATCTGGTTAGGTGTATAACTAGAAGAAACAAAAGCGAGAAAGGATTGATACAGGAAAACAAAAAGCTACATTAGTTTTGAGAATTTCTAATTTTCTAGACAACCACCTACATCGCGAGCAGCCATGACAGAGCATTCTATTGCCGGGAAATTGGTGCCATTGGCATGGATGACGGTTGGCTGTATAAATTACCATCCGAACCCTGATAATTTGGATACGTATTAGCTGGAGGCATTGTATAGGGGGCCATGCCAGTCATTGGAGCCCCAACAGCTGGATAACCAGGCAAAGAAGGTGGCTGTAGCTGCGACATGGCATAGCTGTATTGCACACCATTCATTGACCCAGCAGTCTGCATGAACTGGGGCATGGAATATGGTTGCATAGGTGGCAATGGTGGGGGTAGGGGTGGAGGAGATGATGGGGGAGGTGGTGGGTTATTTGGGGTTGACTGCTGAGCAGTGGTTGCCCCATTCTGCTGGAAAGACTCGTGATGCTGGAAAGAAGGAATTTGCAGATGCGGTGGGTTCTGAGATGGTATATATGGCTGATCGTTACTGAGCTTAGCCCGCTTTTCAGCAGGATAATCACCAGAGGATTCTTTTATTGAATTGCCAATGACACCTTCGGATGCAAGAGAAGAAAGGACATAAGAAAGCATTTGGGCTGAGGATGTTGAAGCAGTTAATTTTTCTGCTACGGCAGCAGCAGCAGACTTCCGGGGATCTTCCTCGACATGGCTGGTATTTTCAGGAAAAGATACCTGCTGGGTATACATAGATGGAGCTGATTGTTCCCTTTCTCCAGCTACAAAGGTTTGTGGTGCCATGGAGGTGGTAGCTTCCTTTAAGCTTCGCTCAGGCACTAATGGAACATTGTTAGAATGCAGCAACTGCTGGCAGATGTGACTAGCGTGTTCCGAGCAGGAATGTGCAGCCTGTAGAACAACACGGATGGGAAGGAGATTACAAACGTGTTTGAAGTGGGTATGAGTGCAAACACGCTCCAACAAACAGCTATCTAAAGCAGCATATATTTAGCATCATATTTTACACATTTTTAACAAATTCCAGAAGTGAAGTTTTAATTTCTCTAAACTTAAATCATTGCCACTTAACAAGGGAAGGCAAGCCAATTTTTTATCCTCCCATGCAGTGAAGTGTCAAATTAGAAGCTTTGATCAAAAGAAAAGGTTTTATTTGCACGCATGCCTATTCCAAATGAAGGCATAATATATATGAAAATGAGTTTAAAAAAGGAAAAAAAGCTTATAGCAATTAAGAACAATAACAAAACCTACCATACTAGATATCCATGACCTAAATGATTTAAGCAGTTAGCTATCAGTTCTGACCAGTACCAAAGTGAAATAGAATTTTACTATCAAACAGAATCAAAAGCTATAATTTGAAAATTTTATCAAGGTCAAGACATCAGCGCTCAAAGAAAGCATAGTTTATCCTCTCATGAAGTGAATCGTCAACTTTAGTACATTGTCCAAAGTAAATGTTTTCATTTGCACCCACAACCATACACAGCGAGGGTAAAATAACAAAGAAATGGTTGCAACAAAAGAAAACTTTAGACAGATGAATCTTTGAAGTAAAAGAAACATCCAGTTTTTAAAATTCAGGCATTTGGGTTTTTTGTACAAAATCATTCTCCAAAATTTGATTGGAAAAGCAAATCATCTAACTAATAAAAAACTTAAAATGGCTCGTTTTATTTACTGACTAGACTAGGATATCAGCAGCCATTTCATCAAATTTTTATAGTTCAAGGCAGACAGTCTTAAAAAGATCAGATTAGAGGTTGGGGAGAGAGAATAATATTATGCCATGAGCTGCCAATCCATCAAAGTTATAAAATGGATGAAACTTAGGCAAAATCTAAAGTTTGTTCAAAAGATTAGATTACAAGGCTGGGAGGGTAATCTTGTTGAAGTGGAGTTGGTAACTTGGTAAAACAGGTGTGAACATTTGGAGTGTTTAAAATAGTCAATGTTGTAAACCTATAGAAAGAAGAAGAAACAAATCAACAATCGTTTTGCAAATGCCATGACATGCATACAATGATCTTCAATCAAGCATATATTTCTACCTATTATTTGGATATCATAAGGCACAAACCGTGGTTGTAGTCATCATGAAAATTGAACTTCCTATTTTCCAGTTATAATTTATCATCACGTCAGGAGGAGATCAAAATAAGAAATATAAATAGCAGACCAAGGCAAGGCATATACAAAGTACCACACCTGAAGCTGATTACGAACTTGTTCTAGTTTGGATTCCTGCCACAAAATTATGCTCAGTTTAATATGCTGTCAGATTTTTTATTCTTTATTTTTTATTATTTTTTTATAATGGGAAATATTATTTACTGGTAAAGAACAATTTAATCAACCAACCTGCTCCTGTAAAGCTTCTCTCAAATAAGACACAAGACTTGACCTTGATGATTCAATGGCTGTCAGTTGTTCAATGCTATCCCTCAAAATAGCATGCTGCCCCTGCAGCTCTTCTACAAATGCAGCTCCATGGAATTGCCCTGTTCAACAGAAAGAATAGCTAAGGGTAATGGCAAGACCTCATGGACAAGTAGGGAAAGTTTAATGGAGACATTTTGGGAATCTTGATCAAACATGTCAGTTCATCATCAACAAGAAGATTAAACCCACACCTTGGAAAAGTATTAGGTTCAAGCAATCAATTTGTGACGAAGTGAAATCAAGTCTCCATTTAAGAGATGGGACAACTTGAAGGGCATTTTCTATCATAATTTTTGAATAATTTGCACCTTGTCTACATCTTGCCAAAAGGACCAAACAAAATAGTAAATAGTGAAGGAACATCTTCACATTTCCCTGCAGAATATGATAAATAATACAGATGCACAACTTAATTATTCCTTGCATGTAATTATTCTTATTACGTCAAAATGCATGTGCAATAAGCTTAAAATTACATTGAGATGACTATCATACCGAATAAACAATGCATGGCAACAAATATATTCAACAGAAAAGGGTGGACACACCAAGTCAAATCACAGAGGAACGTTGAAAGGAAACAATATGTTTGCAGAAAGTAATAAAAAAATACACAGGTTGAGAGTTTGATAAAAATTCAATGTAAGTAGAAACATTTAAAGACTAAATTCTTTGGCTGAAAGATGATGCCAAATGCAACTAATACCTGAATTAAAATCTCCACCAATCTCCTTATCAGCTTTCTCAAAGGAACTGATAGCATTCCTGCATTTGCTGAATATAGCATCTTCATCCATCTGGCCACCATAAACGACACGATAACCTGCAACTATCTTGTCTATAGTACTTCCAGTAGGCTGCTTCTGTTTGAAGAAGAAGAGAAACGACTGAAGTTATGAGAAGGAACACTAGCATAAACATCAATGATGAATGCAATCAGCATAGAAAATTCAACCTACCATTTTGGATCCTATATGCTTCGCATTTCTATTATTGTTCTCCACGTGCTTTCCCACAATCTCTTCCTTCAGAATTTGTCCTCGGGAACCAAAAACTTTTCTTTCTTCCCATATGCCAATCTGCGTGTACAGACAACAGAAATGAAGCAATAAAAAGTATTTCAAGTTGACATGACTGGAAGATGTTGAAGCTAAAAATTTCAAGCACATATGTAAATTTCTGCATGCAAAGTTATTCTGAAAAAACCTTAAACATATAAAGCAGGGAATGTTATTCTCCCAGCAATTTTAGAGGCAAAATAAGCATCTTAAGTCTAAAAACCAAAAAGCATCTAAGCATTTAAGAACAAAAGAACAAATACATAAGACCATGCAATCAAAAGCAAATCTCATCAAACATGGCAAGCATGGTTGAACCAAAATAAAATATTCTTATTTAATCCTGTTTTTCCTTCCAGTTAATTGGCTGTTAATTTTTAGTATGTAGCACCGATTGAAGAACATTTGAGAACGGATTCATTTAATTGGTCAAAACAAATTTTGCCTTTTAAATTCCAAACTTATTAAATCTCAAGTTAGTCAGTCCTTCAATATGGAATTTATCCACATGAGGAGTTCTACATGGTATGAATATGAAAAATCATCAAACTGCTTTGAACCAAAACAACGCATGGGTTTCATCTTGTCAAAAAGAACTCCGGACCCAACAAGAACCAATATTGACAACCCTAGAGATCTTCATTAACCATGAATCTCACGCAATTTCAGTTCTCAGCATAATTGGAATGTAGGTACATCAAATCTACTCGGATAACCATCGAGCATATTCCCACGGAATAACAGGTGGCAGTATATCAGCAGAATTAGGATGAGCCATCTCCAAACATACCATGCCACGTAATACATGGACAAGCCAAACTATATGAGAATTGACATCCATCCAATTCCAGTACTACATTCAATCTGCCACTTGTTCTATTTCTTTGTTGGAAGTTGGAACAACGTTCTGCTTCTGAAATTTAATCCAAGCTAGGTTGTTTAAAAATTGCACCATAATGCTCTTGGTATATGATTACCACTATGTTTGACAGACTCACACACACACAAAGAAAAAAAAATGATCGTTACCAGTAGAATTGGTTTTACTCCTTACACAAGTTAATATGGATTTCATGTAAAATAGAATATATGTGGTGCTATTACCTGCAAATAATACGTAATATGAGCTTAATCTAAGATTGGTTTATTCTTTCCAACAAACTTGTGAACTGGACAAAAAAAAAAAAAAGCACCTATAATTAAGGTAATTGAAGAAAGAAAATATAAGACAAGTGAGCATCAAGTACCAATCGTTGAGCGTTATTTCTTCCAAACTCATCCCCGTTTTCAATCATGTCACGAAGAGCATCAGGAAGAACCTTCCAAAATTCCCCCACAAACTCTGAACCTTTTCGACGACTATTCTGCAATATATCATTTGCCAGATATAGAAAGGCCAATCTCTGATCACGTGGAGAAGAATGAAATTGTCTGGCCCATGTTTCAACAACTTGTTTTGCTTTATTCATATGGAAGATACACCAATGTGATAGAGCTAAGCAAATTAAGGATAACAACGAAGGCATCATGTCACATGTTGGGGATTGCAGGTTACATAAGATGATGAAAAACAGACAGCTAAATACATACCAATAAAATATATGATAAAAGAATAACAAAACAAGTACCATCTGAAATTTTCATTTGAACCGAGAAGAAAATATACAATGACCAGAAGTACATGCAGGGTGCAACAGGACAGACAACTCTAGAAGCAATTTAATCTTAAAGTAACCTTTATCTTAGACAACCTCACAAAGATAATTCAGTTGTTACTCACTACATCTCAAAAACAACGGAGAGTAGTAGAAAAGTAATAGTGAGAGCGGCAGTCCATATGTTATTACCAACTGGAATTCAAGAACAGAAGCTAAAAATCTATAAAAGTAATAACTGCCAGCAAAATTTTCTTACAGAAACGATAAAAGACGAATGGTAATATAAGTTTAATTTGCTAAAGCTATCAAGAGGATACTCTCTATGCTTGCCTGTGAATTGTTGAGCTTGGCAAGCTTCTCCACTAAAATCTGAGGATTAAACGAACTTCCCATTTATTCTCCCAACAACTGAATCAAAAGGCAAAGCAGACCTTGACCTTTTGAAAGATAAGAAACCTTAATAAGAGAAGAAAACATTAAGAAATATGGTTAATCGCAATTCAATATTTTGCAGCGACAACTTAAAACGCAACCCATGAATATGACTATGAACCATATAATTAAACACCAAAGCAAATCAGTTATCTACAACTAAAACTACAAAAAAAATAAAAAAGCTTCTGAAGAAAAATATAGTGGCACAGTCAATAAAAAAGGGAATTCTTCATGCATTCCTAATCAGCATAATTGAGTCCAAAACTCCATGTTGCTCATAAAATTACTTGATCTTTAACCGACTGAGTAAAAAATACCCATATTCCCCAAATACTAATAAATTATCAGAAGAAAATCTGTTTTTGGAGAAACTGAGCAATTAAGCATGTGTCCTCAGCATTGCAACCTACAACAAATTACTTGAACTTTAACCGATCGAGTAAAAATACTCATAGCCCGCAAATACTAATAAGATAACAAAAGAAAATCTGATTTTGGAGAAACCGAGCAATTAAGTACGAGTCCTCGGCACTGCAACCTATAACAAATTATAACCAAAACTCACAACTTTTTCATGTTGGATACCAAATAAACAAACTATTTGCACCGTAAAAAAATCAACGGAAACATAAGAAGAAAGTAAGTTACAGTTTGCTCGACAAAGTAATAATCGACAAGTCAGTGGCGTTTAGTATTTAGTAATAAAGTCATAATCTTCTATCTGAATTTTGAATTTTTTGAAATCGTTATATATTCAATTTCTTAATAATGATAATAATAATGGTGATAACAACAACAACAACAACAATAATAAACTAATTCTCCATTCAAAACCCTACAGCTTTTCTTCAATTGCCAAAAGACAAAACTCCTAATTTTCACTCAATGTAAATTGCGATAAATAAAAAGAAGAATTCAAGAGTACAAAATAATAGTATACTTAAAGCTAAATAGATTAGCAAGTGGTTAAATAAACAGAAAATAATTAATTAATTAAAAACCTAAAAGCACAATGCAACCTACCACAAATTACTTGAACTTTAACTGATCGAGTAAAAAATACTCATACCCTGCAAATACTAATATGATAACGGAAGAAAATCTGATTTTGGAGAAACTGAGAAATTAAGTATGAGTCCTCGGCAATGCAACCTATAACAAATTATAACCAAAACTCACAACTTTTTCAGTTTGGATACCAAATAAACAAACTATTTGCACCGTAAAAAAATCAACGGAAACATAAGAAGAAAGTAAGTTATAGCTTGCTCGGAAAAGTAATAATCGCCAAGTCACTGGCGTTTAGTATTTAGTAATAAAGTCATAATCTTCTATCTGAATTTTGAATTTTTCGAAATTATTATATATTCAATTTCTTAATAATAATAATAATAATGGTGATAACAACAACAACAATAACAATAATAATAAACTAATTCTCCATTCAAAACCCTACAGCTTTTTCTTCAATTGCCAAAAGACAAAACTCCTAATTTTCACTCAATTTAAATTGCGACAAATAAAAAGAAGAAGAATTCAAGAGTGCAAAATAACAGTTTAATTAAAGCTAAATAGATTAGCAAGTGGTTAAATAAACAGAAAATAATTAATTAATTAAAAACCTAAAAGCGCAAGCAAGCAATGAAAAACTAATCAAAAATAGGTAAACAAAAAACACAAAGAATGGTTAACAAAAAGCAAAATAAATAAACTCAAGAATGAATGAGGGAAATAGAGTGAAACCTGCTAAATAGGTAATAGTAATGCGGGTGAGGAGCACGAGAATCAACAGCGGGTAAAGATAGACTTCTCCTGCTCCAAAACTTCATCAATTGAGCAATTCAGATATAGTTATTGATGTAACTTTGCGAATTGGATTTTAAGACCTCTTCTCTTCTCTTCTCCTGTGTTTCGAAAGAGATAGAGAGGCAGCAGTGTTGTGTTGTTAGATTTAGCTTTAGCTTTCTGTAGGTAATTACGCTAAATTACGGTGCGGTGCGGTGGGTTTTGTATCCGATGTTTGATTAATTTCGTGCGATTCAACTGAACTAGTATGAATTTACGGAACTACCATAACAAGGTTTTTTTTCACCCACAAGATAAAGTAATGCTTGTGTGGTTTATCGATACGGCGTCGTTTCTTTAAGGTAAACTTGCATGTTTGCACTTTTTAAGCTTGTCTATTAATTTTTTTTTTCCCTTTTGGGACAGGAATAATCAATTATTCAGATTTATTTTTTTCACAAAATCAGTAAAAAAAAATTATTATTTTTTATTTCGACAATAAAAGCTATACTTGAATTAGTTTATATTACTTTGACACCCGTACGTACTATACTGCAGGGGACATTATTATATACATAGAAGAATTAGTAATTTGTGCATGTAGTTGCAAACGATCGATAATTTTATTTTGAAATCTTTCAATATTGATTCATTTAAAATTGATTTGTTCTTATAGCATGTTAAAAGCAATGCAGATGGTTTTTATAAATAAAGAAAGATGATTTTTATTTTTATTTATTTTTATTTTTTGCCGTAGCGACATCCTAGTAAAGAGAAAGTAGCATATCAATTATAAAACAACATAAGTAGAATTGTTTAGCATAAAACAGACCGAAAGAGGATAGGAAATTAAACAATTTTTGTTCTATGTTCAGCCATAATCTATTAAAAATTAAGTTGTCATGCATTACAAACAAAAATTATGTAAATTTGTTTCGTATAAAACAGATCAGCAGCCATAATAATAAAAAACACAAAAAATGCGCTTGAGGTCGCGATCCAGGTGATGAGGTTGAGGGTCGCTCACGATGACACCCGGGTTCGAATCTCTTTGCGCATGCCCGTCACCCCCGCAGTGCCTTACCCGTCCACTAGGCTTGCGGGGTGTTCGGTGGACCCGGGGATTAGTCGAGGTGTGCGCAAGCTGGCCCGGACACTCGGGTTGAAAAAAAAAAAAGACAAAAAATTAAACAAATTTGGTGCATGTTCAACTATAATCTATTAAAAAATTAAGTTGTCATGCATTACAAACTAACATGCGGGTTTTTTATGCATGGTATAACCGACAATAATAATTTTGATGGAGCTCAACTTGCATAAAAACAGTCCAAAGCTGGTTGGTTGGCAATTGTTTGTGGTTGTCCAAACTTGGGTGAATTTCTTGTCCATAATTGTACATCTTCAATAAAAGATAATAGTGTGGCCATGATTTTATGAAAGATCCGTGGAAAAAAAAAATTTCAGTGAAACGAGAGAGATGATCGAAAATGATGCCATATAAAACCAAGCATGCAAATGAAAAGTGGCAAATAAGTTTGGAAAAAAAAAAAGATATACTAAGTTGAAAAAAAAAAAATTACAAGAGAAGGAAGAAAATGACCCATGTGAAAGATCATGCATCCTATGAAAGTGCGAAATAAAACAAAAAATTTCTTCCATTTAAAGTTTCTAAGATCAAGTCATGAATCAACTAATCATACATACATTACTCAAAACACAATACAATGAAGGCATAACTAGTGTTCGTTCATCCATTACTCAAAACAATAAAGGTACAAACTAACATGCAGCTAGCGACAATGAAAAGATGGTGAATGAATGGAAGCATATGCAAAACGAACCGAAGAACACTAGTTAGGCTAAAAAAATGATTCGAAAGAAGTTAAGAAAATAATGAATATGCAAAATTCGAAACAATAAATGATAATGCATCGTAATTTTTTCTCATTAAAAGCAAAGAGATGATGATGCATCATAAATAAAATCCTATTTTTATCTACATGAACTCGTGTGTGTCCATATATCGTTCTAGATTTCTTAAAAGATAGAATAAAACCTTTATTATTTTTTGTCCATGTTGATAAATTTTGTTACCAAAAAATTATGATCAAAATATTTTATGCATCAATCAATTTCATTAAGAACGAAGATCAACTTCATACAAAATATTGTGAACAAATAATAGATCAAATGCAATATGACTATAAATGATCTTTTTATAGTATGCAAGAAATCAACTGGCATCACAAAGTCAATATAATGCATCTTTATGGCGTCTAAATTAGGCATAATTTTCTTTCAATATTAAATTTGAACGAACATTCTTTAATAGGTTGATCATAGACAAAACTTGTCTATTTGAGACACCTTATGGATCGAAAGATAAAAATAGAAAAACAATAGGAAAATAAATGCATAAGATAAAAAGAAAGTTGAAAAAAAAAAACACTTGTACAAACAATAAAAGGTACATGTTATAACCCATTTCAACCCCCGTAGATTTTTATTTTATACCAATTTTTTTTAAAAAATTACATGTTGCATAGTTTCTTGATTTTTTTTCCATAATTTTAAAGCATTTTTATAATTTTTTTGGATTTAAATTCCTTAGAATTTCCCCTACTTTTAATTAAAAAATAGAAAATAAAAAAAGAAAAAAAGAAGAAAAATCGGGGTACAAATTAAAGAAAATAAAAAGAATAGAGACCAAAAAAGTCTAATTGAGGATGAGATCGAAATCAAGGAAAGACGAAGGACTAAAAGAAAAAAAATAATAAGAAAGTGAGAGATCGAAAGAAAATTAATTCAAAACCCAAAAATCTCATAAATACATCTCTTTCTCCCACGAATAAAAGAGGGTGTTGAAATTTTCACACACATAAAGAAGAGAAGCTACCTAAAAAAAAAAAAAAAAAAGACACCGACCAAACAACCCCTAACCCATTTCTTCGACTTATAGACCCGCCAACCTCTTCTTCCTAAAAAAAACACCACTCTCCGGTCAACACATCCTCCAACAACCATCACAAACTTGAAGCCCAACCTTAGATCGACCTTCCTCAATCGGTTAGAGTAGAAGAAAATAATGAAGTAGGTTAGAAATTGGAAAAAAATGCTAATAACCCAACCCGAACTAGAACCTAAAAAAATTGCTAATTTTCGCCAAATCAACTATTGCCACCTCGAAGAAGCGGCTCTCGCCCTCTTAAAAGCTAATTTCCCTTGAAATCTCAAAGAAATCTCATTAGAATTGATTGAATTAAAGAAGAAATCAAATCTCGACTTGTTTTCTTAAACCCGACTTAAAACCATCTCCTCCTCTTAAATCGACCACTTTTCGACCAAATTAGAAGTCAAAATCTTGATAGAAAGAAGCATCGACATCTCTATAGTCTTTTCTCCCCGTGATAGTGATATAAAACTACAAGAGAAGGAAGAAAATGACTCGTGTGAAAGATCATGTATCCCATGGAGGTGCGAAATAAAACAAAAAATTTCTTCCATCTAAAGTTTCTAAGATCAAGCCATGAATCAACTAATCATACATACATGAATTAAAAATATGGGTAAAAGATAGTACGGATTTAGCATTTGTAGAAAGGAGTCGTCAAGTATCCAGCCTCTATCGATAATCCACGCAGTTGAAACACCTATAATAGAAGTTACAAAAATTATAGAGCATTAACTTTAATCTTTATGTGTATTTAACTTTTCTCTAGAAATCAATTCGAGCTTTTTAGGGAGAGATTTGTTTTCTTTCCTTTTCTTTTGTTATTGCCATGTGTTTGTGTTTTCTTTCCTTTCTTTTTGCCGCCTCTCTCCCTTTATTTGCATAAGGGAGCTGCATCCTTGTCCTTCGAGGATAAGAAGTTGTAACATATGTGGACTTGTTTGATCTTATCATTGTAAACCTTGAGCCTTATCTATTAGGACTCAAGTTTATCCTCCCATCAAAATATCCTATAGGCTTTTAAATTAAGCATATTGGCCTAAACTCTTTTAGTCTAATTAATTATCAATTAATTTGGACCATCCAAATAAATTGAGTATATTTTTTGGAAGCCCACATTAAGAAACAATTTTTCAAACTACTCTTAAACCTAAAGTAAGAAACTAATTTTTTTTTAAGGTAACTAACTTCCAAATTTAGAAGTTTGTTCCAAATTAGGAAACCGATTTCCAAAATAGAAAATTTTTCATTTTAGGAAACCTTTTCCAAAACAGAAAACTTTCCAAAATAAGAAACTTTTTTCAAAATATGAAACTTTTCATTTTTGAAAACCTTTTCCAAAATAGAAAACTTTCAAAACTGAAAACCTTTTCTAAAATCTTTATTCTTTTTTATTATGTGAATGCTTAAACTTACGCGTGTGACTCAATAGGCTCTTAGATATGTTGACAATGTATTAAGAATAAAAAACACATCTTTTATCTCTTTACATATAAATCAAGATTGGTCTCTAGCAAGGCATCAAGACTACTAGATTCTCTAAGAGGATTAATTAATTTATAATTACCTTTCACAAGGATGGTTACCATATAATTCAATCCTTATATCAATTTATCATAGTGTGATCTCGAACTTCGTTTATAGTCCGTTCGATTATGATCACACAAGTTTTTTTTTATTTTCAAATGTCTTAGCTCTAAAGTAAACCAACAATGCTCTATTAGTATACTCCCACCGTAGCTATAGATTCCTTAAGCGGACATTTATTGAAATGCAATATGATAACTTCTTTAGTATATAAGGAATGATATGTCCTATCTTAGTCATCCACCTATCTCCATTAAATTTCTAGTGCATCTAACGAATCGTCCACGTACAACTCTTGATTAAACCCATCGAAACAAAAGTCAAAGTACATAAATCCTCCGATGAGATAATTGTGATGATTTCAAGTTAACGGACTAGTTTTACCCATCTAGTACGAGATTCTCATTGACTAAACCAAATAGGTTCTCATGGTGAGTGGCATTTAGTAATATGTTCTTTAACATTAATCACCAAAGTGTTTGCTTTGACATCACAATATCAATAGATATAAGATCTCTTATTGCTATCTTATAGCATGAGCATAATACTCACAACTCTTACCGTATATGTCAATGTCGATTCTTGATAATGCTAGGATTTAGGACAATGATATCATTTAAATGCATTAATATTTGCCTCACATATTTCGATCAATCATTAATGCAATGCTCATTATATGGACTTCTATCTAATTCTATTAAAATATAAACGATAAGAATTAATATAAATACTTCTTTTATTAATACATTAAAAAAAAGTAATATTACAACTACGTGAATCAATATACGAGTTAATTTTAGATAAATTATATTGGCTTGTCTGTGAATTTTGACAGCATGCATGAATCATGATCATGAGTATCTCTATATATGGATTCGGTCATTGATTATTTTGACTTGGATAATTAAAATTAATATAGATTACTTGATTGAATTGTCTCTTGCAAAGAGAGCTGCACCATCAAAACTAAGTGAAGCGTCCTTTAATTAAGGCATTCACAAATACCCTATTGCGCATAAACATCGAAAGAAAAAAAAAAAGCAATGTCATATATACAAATTCAGTTAATTGTCCAATTTTTAAATGATTAGATACTCATTAAATGTAACATTCATTAAAATAAAATAAAATAAAAACATAAGAGAAAATAAAGGAAAATTGAAATTAAAAAAATTAAATAAGCAACGTTAAAATTGATTGAGAATCATGTTGTTGATAATAAAAAAATTGAAGGAAAAAACAAATTACATGGGCGAACCAGTCCAGATTAAGGGGTCGACCCTACAAAAGCGATCACTCTAACCGATGGATCAAGTTCGAGGAATCATCGCTAGGTTTAGCCATGCATTTCCTTCCAACAGGAAAACAAATTCATTCACTCCCACCTGATAACAACCCTTGCACCCTAGCATGATCCAACTGGCTAAAACTGATTTTAGTTGCAAATCCTTTGAAAACGAAAATCTGGGCATCAACTCCTCCAAATTGCATTACGGCAGCCTTACCTTTTGAATGCTCCATTTGTTCATGCACGGAGCTAGATGATGACTATCATGGTCTCTTACGAGCCCCGGAAGTAGGATTTCCATCAAAAAGTTCATCAATATAAGTCTCTAAGTCTTCACTCTGGTATTTTATGTACTTTTCCGATTGCCTTCCAGGGGTTAAGTACTGCGAAAACCTCCCCAGAAAGGACCGGTATGCCGGTATCACCAGCGCTGCTATAGAAACTCTGAGCTCTGATTGAAGTTGCTCATCACTCACCACCCATGAGCTCTGCGTCTTGTGGATCTCATCAAATAACATGTTGAAGCTCTTGAACCTCTCTTTCAGCACTGGCTTATTTACTTTTCCATTCACTTGCAGTCCCTCAGGGCCTAAACAAATCAGGAGTTTGCTCCACGTCTCTCTTTGATAATTCTTATGGTAGTTCCTGAGTTCCGAGGACTTCCTGCGGCACCATGTGTCTCCTATCACTTGATGGATCTCTGTGGAGCCTTTGACCTTTTGCACAATGTAGCGTCCATTATTCATCATGAAAATGTAGCTCAATGCAATATCCCTATAAAGCTTCGACTTGGCCTCCAAATTGGAATCTAACAAGTCCATAACTCTCATCAATTGATTTGAAAATGGAGACTCATTTTCTTCATCATTGTCCTTGTTGAATTTTGGAGCCTCGCTTTCGAAACGTGGCCTGCTTGTTGAATCAGCACGTTCTATCTTTGTATGTTCTCGAAAGACTTGCTCAAGAGTAGCCTTGTATTCACCAGCATACTTCAAATAATTCATCGTGTAGCGAGTCAAAGGGTGAACCGCACCACCAGGCACTGGAGTTTTTCCTGTATCGGACTTGATTGAATTCTCCAAATCACAAAATATACAAATTGCAGCCTCTCCAATCCGACACCGAGCTGTTGTTGACTCTGTCTTAAGCTCATTTTCATATTCCTCCGAAAACAAAGCTCCCATGGCTGGAAGGCTGTCACGCAGAGTTTCATAAATGTCAAGAAACTTAAATAACTTCTCTGCCGACCGCTTTGTCAGTGCAACAGCTTCAGCAAAATTGAGGAGCTGGATCATCACACTGCGCGTGAGATTGCTGAAAAGGCTGGAGGAGATTGAGGGAAAACTGGAGAAAACAGCCTCTGCGAGCTTTAGCTCTTTCACGAAGTACATGCTTGCACATTCCTTGACGGCCTTGATCCATAAAGGGATCTCTCTCTCTAACGCTTCCCATTGCATCTTTTGCACCTCATCAATGCTGATCTTCTCAAATCCTATATCGACAAAGCACTCATCAAGTGCTTGCCCCCTAATCATCATGTACACATGGCAACATTCAGATTCAAATCCTCCTTCAATCATCTCCTTCGCAATTCTGTTCAATCTGGAAACAGCTTCATCAGAATATCCTAAAAAGTTGTCAGTTTCTGTTGATTCAGATTCTGGGACCACGCAACGATCAGCTTCATGTTGCTTCCCTTTTGCATCGTTATTATGATCTGGATCATTGTGTTTAACATCTTCAAGAATGACCCTGAATTCATCCTCCAAGTATGCCATTGCTCGCTGTTGATTCTCTCCAATGCGGTTGACCAATGATGCATGATTTGGATCGGATCTCAATTCATAGAGGGAAGATGTTAACTTGGATACCCGATTCACAGCTTCAAGAAACCACGAATCGTCTTCAGGATTTTGATCGCACTTCTTCCCTTCATTCCAGTCATGTTCTGCCACCTTTTCTTCAACGAGATCCAAAAATTTCTCAACGAACGCAGGAATCTCCACCACCTTCTCGTCTTTTTCTTCTTTTGCATCTTTTGGAGTGGCTGAGAGTGTTGCAAGAAACTGATCAATATCTCGAGAGACAGTTTCAAGGGTATAATGAATTTCAGGAGGGGTTTCTTCAATCTTCTCATCATTTCCTTTCTCCTCTTGATGAACTTCCTCAATCTCATGACTTGTGTTGTCTGGTTCTTTCACTTTCACCTCTGTTTTAGGAGACTGCGACACGAGCTGATCACAGGTTTCACTTTCAGGTTGATCATCGTTGAGATTGTTAACAATGCTGGTGTCATTTTCTTTGTTTGCAGAACTGTCTGAATTATTAGAAAGCTTTTTCTCAGGTGGATGTTTTTCAGACAAGTCACTTTCCATTGTTCTGGTAAAAAAAAAAAAAAAAAGGATAAATGAAACGAAAGGTCAAAGGTGGGAGATTTCAAGAAGGAAGAAGGTGAAAGAGAGAGACATGAGAGACGTTCATTAATTTTAGTGAGTTTGTAATTTCAATGCTTTTTGGTTTTGTTTTTAATTGTTTTTGTTTTTTCTTAATATTTTTGGTGGGGATTGAATTATTGAAATGGTCTTTCGTTGTGAGAGGCTGGCGAGAGGTGGAAGGGAATGAAGGGACAGAAACGTTCCGTAGGAAATCAGAGAGAGTTTTGGTTCTATTTTATCCATCTGTTTGGAATGGTTGACCGTTGACTGGCTTAAACAATCAAAGATCTGAAAAAAAAAAACAAAAAAAAAACCAATGAAAGAAGATTCTCCTGTCTGTTTGTTTGTGCTTCCCACGATCTTGTTAACTGTTTTTTTTTTTTTTTTTCTTTTTCCTAAAATTTTTCTGATGCGTTATGCTGTGCCTCTATATATAGAGAGAGAGAGAAAATTTTATTAGTATTATTATTATTATTATTAGAAGAGAGAGACTCGAATCATAAATTTATTAGGTAAACAAAAAAAGAAAAAACCAGATCTTTACATTTAGTAAAGCAACGCAATTCATATTTTAGTCTTGCCGTGGAAAGATTCATTTTAAGAAAGATTAATTATTTTACATTCTTGAGGTTTTAATTCAATTGGAGAGTTTATCTTCAATTATAGGATAGAGTTCTTGAGAACTAATGAAATGACCATTCGCACATTGGTCGAAATATAGAGAGTTAGGATTATAACTTGTAAAAATAAAGACTAACTAACTAAATAGAATCGATGCAAGCAATAAGAGACATATGAAGAGTATGGAAAGCTAGTAAAGAACAAGTTGAGTGATAGATAGACGACCGAGTTAAACTCTAAATGAATGGAGTTTTAGATATTCCCGTGTCTATGAGTGAGGGAGCTTTAGGAAAAAATTTAGAAAGACTTTAGAGATTTTGCTAAAGAACCAAAAAATTCTCACCTCTCACAATTGTTGTGAGGTTTGTGGTTATAGTGAAAAGATAATGACCATTGATCGAGTAGGATATTGTCACATCATTCAAGTTTGGACAACCAGATGTGAATTGAAAAAATTAGGTTCTTTTGGGTTAAGTCGTTTCAACTTGTAAGTAAATACTAGAGAGAGTAACAATTGATCTTTTTTTTTTAGTGAACTCTACTCCGAGCCCACTAAGCCAATCTTTCTAATGCATTCCAATTGGCAAGACATGGACACTAACACCGTTAGGATACTCATGTTCATTCTCATGCAATCCAAGGTCTTGTCTTTGGCAAAGCCCATCCTTAGTTTAATCTATATGTTATATAAATGGATCCATGTCAAAATTAATAAAAATAACATATATTAGTATAAAATAAAATTAGCTAAAATACTTATTTGATTTTAGAGAGAAAATGAGTATATACGTTTAGCTCTATGCACATACGAGTTTTATAGACTTGTTAATAAGGGTGTTCATGTAATCATATATAGAGAGACATAGAAAAATAAAATTAGAAAAAAAATAACATAATGATTGTGGTAGACTTGCCACGAGTCTCTCATTGCATGCCAAATATATAATGAAAAGTATGCTAGGTTATTCATGAGTCTTTCAATGCACAAAAAATAAATAGTAAAAGTTTGCGGGTTTGGTAAGAGAGAGACATAGAAAAATAAAATTAGAAAACATAATGATTGTGGTAGACTTGTCATGGGTCTCTTATTACATGCCAAATATATAGTGAAAAGTATGCTAGGTTATTTATGAGTCCTTCGACACACAAAAAATAGATAGTAAAAGCTCGGTAGGCTTGCTAAGAGCCTTTTTGAAAATGAGTCTTTAAAGCGTATTTTGATTTTGAAAACAGCTTTTGACGGATTAAAGATCACCTCTAGGTTGTGGAACTCGAATCAAATTTTCATATTAGATACTACCTAGATCAATTTAAGGTTTTCTATTTTATTTTTTTTTTAATTGGATTCGAAGCCCAACACGTGTCTTATCGGCCTATAGCCATTTCTTCTTCTTTTTCTTCTTTATTTTATTTTATTTTTTCCTCGGCTTTGTCTAAGTCACTTCCTAGATTGACAAGAAAAATTGATCAACTATTACGAGCATCACTTCCTACCTTGATAGGAAAATTTGGTCAACTATTACTAGTTGGTGACCTCTTGGCTTGAAAAGAAAAAAGATCCACTATTACAAGGTGACCTCCCGACTTGAAAAGAAAAATTGGTCAACTATTAAAGGGTGACCTCTTGACTTTTAAGAGAGATTGATTGTGATGAATCGCCTTAAAAAAGAGAAGGTTTGCCCATTACCTATAGATGATGTTCTTAGAGCTCGAGTTTACATGTACTATTTAGGCCTACTAAGTTTAATTGTTTTAATACCACCTCTATGATGCTCGTAATCCTATAGAGAGTCAAGAGTGCTACTGCACTATTTTACACCCGAAGATGCAAGGCAATGCACTATGTTCTCTACCTTGGATCTCTATGACAATACACTCGTAGAATCCTCATTCGGTTTAAAGTTCAAGACTTCCTAAAAATTGACATTTAAGGCTAATAAAATTTTTGCAACCTATGACATAACCTAAATCATTTCATTTCCATTGTCAAATTAAAATCAACGAGTGCCTAAACCTAAAATATTTATAATCATTCTATATCATTTCATTTACATCCTTGAATTTAAAACTCACAATGCATGATTCAAGCCTAATCCATTCTTAAACCTCAAATTATCCATAAATATTTTATTTACCTTTAATCTCATAAATATATATTAACATATCCAAAATAACAAAATTTTATCATTTAAAACTCAAATGCTTAAATCTAGGTAATACCCAAAAATGGTCAAAACCTAGCCATGGTTTAGCCTTTAAACCTTAAGCTTAGATATATAGTACACGATTTGGCAAATCCCGTAGCTTTCGGTTAGCATCCTCAATGCATCTAATCGATCCTTAAGCATTGTTTTGCTCACTTACACCACAAGACAAACAAAATGAGCTAAAGCTTAGTAAGTGCAGCTATGTATGAATACAACAAAAACCATCTTTATCATGCTTAAAACTATTTTCTATCTTTCGGATATACTTTGCTTGAATGTATATAAATCCAGCCTTCTTTTAAAACCATCATCATGAAAGCCATAAAGGCTCTAGACATGTTCAATTAAATAAACTCACTAAGGGTTGATCATTCCCTCTTGTCCCTCTTAAAAATGTCTAGCCGTGATCCATGTCCTCATAAAACCATGTACATGCCTTTTCTTGAATGCTTGAAATCATGACATAAAATATTTTATGATATGAATACAATTAGAATACAATATCAAGCATGTACATGAACATGAATTATGTGGCATTAAGTCATTCATGAACACAATCCGAACAATCTTAATTAATCACTTAATTTGAATTTTATCTAGTCATATCAACATCAAGCAATTTCATGGACATAAGTCAATTTCCTCACATAAGATAAACATACAATCTTCCATTATACCTACCTAGGTTGAATCATCTCTCGTCAACACAACCGTACAATTATTCAATCAATCAAGATAAGCAATAATAAGTAACCTAAATCTATCAAACCAATCAAATCCACCAAACAACAACAACACAATCATTCCCCATCAATACAAATCCATAATCTTGATAATAGTTTCAACAAACATAAGCCAAAGCCAAGACTATCAAGCTTCCTCAAACTATTCAATCCATAAGCCTAAAACCGAATCATATCAAACATTCCTCAATTGTTTAATTTATCAAAAGATATAAAATCATTCCATTAATCAAGCATGGTCGAATTCATCATGCTTTCCACAAGTAGTTCAATCATCAAAACCAAGTAACAATAACTTTCATCGACCAATAACAAAAATACTAAATCAATAAGTCTAGCTAAATTCAATTAATAAGTCAAATTATCTCAAATCAAGTAATCTTAAATAAAACATATCTTATTTAAATCGCTTATCATCACCATCGTCATTCAATTGTCCAAACCAAATCAAGTAAAGTCAAGCATAGCCCAATAACATCAAGCATACACCAAAGCCAAAACCATTAATTATCCAATAAGCATTAAAACACATAGTCAAGTGCTATCAAGTAGTTACATAATCTAAAATCATTCATTAAACAAAACTACCATATGCATGCATGCAAAATCATGTAACTTAACTCTAGTCAAATTCATTTAATAAGCCAAGTTATCCTACATCAATACAATTAACCAATGATTTAACCATCCCAATTCAAGTATCCATAAGAAAATCAAATCCATCAAGTTTTCATAAAATCATCCATTCATCAAGCCCAAATCGAATTTCAACAAGCATAAAACACCAATAAACCCTAGCTGAATCTTCATCTCAATAATTTAATCAATAATTAATTACATATCCAATATCAATAGCATGACAAATATTCAATTAAATACATATCCATTACTATCACAAGGTATAATCATCAATTTAATGTATACTCATCACCATCACCATGTAACCTTATCCATTAACAACTAACCAAAACCCTTTAACTTATAGGTTTACATAAACACAACATCAAACATATTCAATCAATAATTAAATACATTTCATAACATCATATTGATCAATCATTCATTAATTTCATAATCTAAGCATCAATTATACACAATTCATTCAATTACACAAATAGAAACCCCGAGTTTCATAAAAGCACAAGTCATCAAATTAGCACATACAAATCCTAAGACTTATCGTGAGTTGAAGTTATACTTACCTTAGATTTAATTGAAGTGAAAATCACCTTGAAAATCCTTAAATCCACTCCTTTCTTCTTTGTTCAAACTCTTAACCAAAATAGCCCTCTCTTCCTCTCGGCAATTCTTTCCTTCTTTCAACCTAACTTGCTTCTTTTTGGCAATTTCGACTCATTTTCTTGAGAAATTTAGGTTCTCTCTTGCTTCATCTCAAGGGTTTAAGTCTCTTTTGCTCTCTTTCTCTCTCAATGTTCAAGTTCTCTCAAAAATGGATGGAGGCAAATGAAATCTCAAATGAAAACCTAAGCAAAATTTCTCCCTTTTATTTTCCTTTCTTGGTCGAAACTTTTGGACAAAAATAGCTTTAATGAGGCACTTGTCATAAGGTAGATGTTTTATACTTAGATATTTTAATTTAGACGAAACAACTAATTAATAAATTATTTTCTAGATTAATTCATGTTTAGGATACTAATTAAATTTGAATCCTAAGTTATACATGTATAAGAATTATTTAATTAAACCATATTTTTTTTAAGTCTTCACTTGTCAATTAATTCATTATTCACACATAACACTTGACAACATTAATTTTACAAAACAAACAATCATCAATAATAACATAAGCATGTCATGCATATACTTAGCAAAATGATAATGCACACAAAGCATAAAAATAAATCTGGGTATTACGAGTTTGTGCTTGTTTGTGTGTGATTTTGAGTTTGAGGACTATTTGTGGATTGATTGTGATTCAATTACTCCGATTTGTGGTCGCTTGAGTTTGGATAGTGTCGAACTATTGCTTGTTGATTTCGGCTAGAAGTTGTTTGTGCTTGTGGCTTCAGCTTATTGCACTCGTCTTCATAAAATTTTTGTAAATTTTGACAAAATTCTAGAATTTTCTAACACTAATTTCTTTTATGAACTCTAAGTTTTATTTGTATAAATATAGATGATGTAGGACACTTTTATCGATAAAAAAAAGATTTCGTTTGATATTTATTTCGACATCTTCTTTCATGTCGTTTGCATAGTCATTTTTTAATATAGAATATTGGTTTAGTTGTAGGATCGTGGAGTTATAAATATGAGAGTCTGTAAATTAACAAGTGATGAAATGCTTAATTATTTTGGCTTTTTTATTATTTAAAAATAATTTGAATTGTCTTTAAAAAAATTTTAAAGACATTATTTTAAAAAAAATCTAAAGGTTTCTCTTAATTATTTAAGATTTTTTTTTAAAGGTTAGATTTTAGCTACAATAATTTTTAGGTATCTCATCTACTTTAAGCAAAGTTTTCCCTTTCTTGAATATTGTTACAAAAAAAAAAAGAAAAAAGAAAGTACACATTCCAACAACCTTTCAACCAAGACATAGCTTCGTATATCCCATGGTTGTTTCTACACAGTTTACTAGAGAGGGAAGCTGCAAATGTGTTGCGGTTCAAATTTTTAGTTATTTTTTTATTGGGTTTTGCGGGTTAGGTTTAATTTTTTTGTTTCTCTTATAAATTTTATTTGAATTTAATTATACTTGTTGTAGATTTTTAGCTTGAAAAGAATTGTGCACTTACTTTTATAAGAAGATTTCGATTCTTACCGGTAATGAATCTCATAATTTTTTTATTTGAAAAATATGGACTATAATTTGAGGATTTTTTGTTTAATATTATCTTAATTTTATCAAGTCATATTCTTAAATCTAAGTGACATGGCATGGCATGTCCATCATCACATCATTATTAGTACTTTATGATAGATCAAATGACTCAAATCATCACTAAATTAATACATCATCATAGAATTAAAGAAATTAACTTTTACACTTTCACATTCAAGTTTTTACAAATTTGAAAAATCTATTCAGACAAAACTAAAATTTAGATACTTAATTGTAAATGTAAGTCCTGAATTATCCATAAGAAAACCATTCCGTTTTATCTATTATATTAATCTCTTTTTATTACAATCTTATTAAATAAAAAAAAAAAGAATGTAATAAAAATTTGATAACCGCTGTAGTTAAACACGTACGCAGCAAATCACCAAAAACAAAAGCAGAACAGAACCCTTCAGTGACTCAGTCTCCACCGACAAAAAGGAGCTCTTCCTCTCCATCCTCCTCTTCCTCTCCATGTAGATCTCCAAAATTCCAAATTATTATAATGATAATCAAAAAATTTTAAATAGAAGCATACAAATAAAAGAATGAAGCGTTATTATCATGCATCAAGGAGGAGGAGAGTGTCCGTACATTATCTTCTCATCGTAATCGCCATTTTCGCTGGATTAGGCTTGCTAATTCTCACTCTGAGATCCATTGATCCGCCAGAAACCACTCACTTGCTCCCTGAAATCAAACAAGATTCGAGCTCGAGCTCAAGCTCAATCTCAATCTCCTCCAAAAACGCTGCCGTTGGACCGGTGATTGGGAGAAATGTTAGAAGAGGAGGAGGAGGAGGTGGTGGTGGTTCTTCCAAATCGTGCGCTACTGTTGAAGAAATGGGCAAGAGTTTCAAAGGAGGCCAAGTCTGGAAAGAGAGTCTTCGAGTCAGAAAGATTATCGCCGACCACTTCGATTTAAACGGTACAGTTTCTGTTTTTTCTTTTTCTTTTTGAAATATATCTATTTTTATAAAAAAGAGAGAAAAGTTCTGTTTCAGGTGCTACGAGAGTGCGAGATCTTCCTCCAGAGCAGTTTTGCAGGCACGGTTTTGTGCTGGCGAAAGCATCGGAAGCAGGTTTAGGCAATGAGATGTACAAGATTTTATCTGCCGCAGCATTGAGCGTAATGCTCAACCGTTCTCTGATCATTGGGCAAACCAGGCATATAATTGGTTCTTTCTCAAGCCTTACTTACCGTTTCTTTAATTTTACTGTAATATTATCACCAAATGCTTGTATGATTAATGGTGATTGCTGTTTTACTTTCATACTTCAGGGGTAAGTATCCTTTTGGGGATTATATTTCGTATTCGAATCATTCCTTCACGATGCGAGAAGTTAAGCATCTGTGGAGACGAAATGGTTGTTTAAATAACTATCAAAGGCATTTGGTTATGAGAACTGATGATTTTGCAAAGCCAGCGAAAACGAATGTCCTTTGTAGCAATTGGAGGAAATGGAAACAACCTATCATATGGTAAAATGAGAATTGTTTTTGATGTTTATATACTCGTTCTTGGTGCTATTAGTTGATGACTAACTACTGGACTGCAGGTTTCAGAACACAACGGATGCTGTGGCCATTCAGTTTTTCTTGAAGAATGTACACCCCGAGATGAGGAATGTTGCTTCTAAATTGTTTGGACAGCCAGAACAACTCCAGGCACGCCCGAATGTTTTTGGGGAGCTGATGAGAATTCTGATATCCCCTTCAGAAAATGTTGAGGAAGTGGTCAAGTGGGTTCTTCGCGATGGGGTAGATCCTGATATTTCTTTACACATGCGGATGCTTATGAACAGGTATTGCTACAGAACCGTTTGTGAACCCCTGAATAGGAAGCCAAGCAGGCCGAACCTATTATGATTGATAAGATAATTGTTGCTTGGAAAAGGTTTTATGCTAGAATCATCTCTAAGGCTTTAACTGAGTACGACATTACTTTAGCTAATATGTAGTGTTTCTGGTCATTAGTAATTGGCTATCTTCTCAATGCCTTATTTTGGTGCATCTGGAAGTCCCTCAGATAAGCAATCACGTGATAAACTGCAACTTGAAAACAGAGATTCTACAATTTTTGCCTGAGCAAAAACGAAGAAATATGTGCATTCAATCAGTTTGGACATTGTTAAAGTAACATTTAAAAAAAAAATGTATGATGTTCATAACAATATGGATCCCGAAATTGGAAATTCTTCTTCAAAAGACAGAAAGACAGCCCTCATATGTGCGTATCAAAGAGACACAGACATGAACATTATACACATCAGACACAAAGATGTGCTTCAAATGCCAAGAATTATCTTAATGTGCTCAGGATACGATTTGAATATTGAACTTATTAGTGCCATTACTTGGGTTGGGCTCTATGTTGCAGGTCTGTCAGAGCTCCACAGGCAGCATTGAACTGCATCAGGAAAGCTCTCCGCAAGCTACGCCATATTTCAAAACCTAAAGTGGTTTTAGTAACAGATACCCCCGCTTTTGTAAAAAGCATTCTTCCAAACATAAGTGAATTTGCAGAGGTAATTAACTCATTATGTCAAGTCATGTTGGCAATGACAGTACTTTCACTCATGATATTAGAATGCATGGCATCTATACATGTTATATTGAAACCTTTATTGTTCAATAATCAGCTTAACCTTATTAAAGTGTTAACTTTCTGTTATTCACACTTCCATCGACCGCTGTTGATTATTGAACAGTAAAGGTTTTAAATCCTTTATTGCACCGTAGGTGCGTTGGGACTATATATGCTCAGTTAATTGCATCGTTGCTGGTTGAGTTAATTTTTCTTTTTATTTGAGAACCTATTTGAGTTAAATTTCAAATTCAAAATCTTGAGATAGCATCTTTCAAACGATTAAAGCCTCCTGGCTCAGTTGATTGTAACTCAGATGTGCCTTTTCAGGTTCTTCATTTTGATTATAAGCATTTCCAAGGAAATATCTCCCATGCCGTTAATAAATCACATAGATTAGATTTTAGGGTGAAGGATTGGGGCCCTGCCCCCAGATGGGTTGCATTTGTAGACTTCTTCCTTGCATCACGTGCGAAACATGCTGTTGTTTCTGGGGCTCACAGGCGCGTTGGGACTACATATGCTCAGTTAATTGCAGCACTGGCTGCTGCAAAACACCTTGGTATTTGTTTACCCTTCATTCCTCTATCTTTATAGTGATTCGGGCCATCCTTCTAAGTAAAGGCTGCTGTATATTAATGGTTAGTTTCTCTTTGCAGGAGAAAACCCTAAGGATTCCAGTTTTATGTTCTTAAGCAGCTTCCAAAGTAATTTGTTAGCAGATGGTTTAAGGTTGCAGGTTGGCTGGGGACATGTTTGGAACAGGTTTGCCGGTCCATTGAGTTGCCAAAACCAGGCCAACCAATGTGCTTACACGCCACTTCTCCCTCCAGCTTGGTGGGATGGTCTTTGGCAATCTCCTATTTCACGTGATGTCCGCAGGCTAGAAGCTTTCGGTCTCAAACTATCTGGTTTTGGCACAATTGATGAAAAACATCTTCAGTCCTTCTGCATTTCGAAGAAAAAAAGGCGAACACTGCATTAATTTTGTAAAGGTTTTGTTTGGAGTCCGTTCTTATACTAATCAAAGAGATTTCAAAAGCAAGATTTGGTTGAGCTTGTCATTGGACTAGAGAGCATCAAGCAGAACGAAAACACCGAAACAAATCAAAATGGTTGAGCTTCTTAGGCACAAGAGAAGAGTCGAGGTTTATTTTATTGTATTATTATTATTATTTCCTATTCTACACGATCAATTGTTATTCTGCTATGAAACAAATCAAAGAAAAAATCTCTATATTGTAATGATTTGTTATCAATTTGTATCTGCATACTATTTTTTTTTTAATTTTTTATCTAATGTTGATTACTTCGCAATAATCAATGGTGGTGAATTGCCTGCACAGCAACTAACGCAACAATGGTAAACATCTATAAGAAGGCAGGGCTTCGGATTGTACCAACAACATACGACACAAAAACCTCGAACATCCTTTTGTCTTTTGACAAAACGTGCTCCATCGGATCAAATTTGATTAATCAGATAACTCGTCACTCTTTAGGCACTTGAAAAACAAAATCCTGTTGCTAAGTTTCTCATGCCCCACGGCTTTCTTCCAGGAAGGCAAATATTATGTCATCTTTGTAGGTAGTTCATAGTTTTCTTCCAATTTAAATGTGGCAGAGAACAAACCAACTAATATAGAATTGAGTTACCAACCCTTCTTTCTGCGATTATTCTCTGGCTAAAACGATTATCGTTATTTGTTTAGCAATATAAATTATTATCCATTGCTGATTAGCGACGGTATATCCATCACTAATGTAAAATATTTACATTGCTAAATTCAAGTAAACAATCATTTTTTAAATCTTAAATCTATTACAAAACCGTAGCTATTCCCTTGTATTCTATTGCCATATCTATCACTATTTAGTGATTGACTCTAATATTTGTCGCAAAAAAAAAAAAAAAAAATTGGTCATTAAGTCATCGCTAAATGAAAGATTTTTTTATATAAATTAATAATTATTTAATGTTAATGATAATAGAAAACAACTAAATATAACACCTTATCATAACACAAAATATCAGTGACCAAATGTCTCCATGGGGCTCACGAACTTTTATCCTCGTTCCAGGGTACAGCCTTTCTTCACCTAATTTCTATTACAAAACAAAAACAGAAAAATAAAGCTGAATTTTGAGTTCGGATAATATAACATCATTGAAATGCAGCACTTACTCAGTTAAGTCTGGATATCAGATTGCTTTATCTAAGTTCTCTCCATTAATGCAGTTTTTGCCTTTGTTGCTACCGATCCTATACGAAAGTAAGTATAGTTTCCTCCAAGTCCCTAGTAAACTACGAACTTTTGCCTAGATAGCCCACTGCAATTCTCTTACTGTTAATTCTAATCTGCAATACAGGATTCATATCATTCCAACTGAACGTCAGGTTTATGGTGATGACTCTGAATCCCAACTTCATCTGTTTGCCTCTGCCCTAAAACAAGACAGGTTTACGGATGCCTTCCTTCTCAACTTGGTGGAGAACATTAAAACTCTATTATAAATTAGCAGCAGTGCATCTTTTCACCCTCTGCTCTCGTTTGCTTCATATGCTGGCGATTGTAAAACGTTTGGAATGACTTTATCTTCGAAGCAATAGATTAGTCTTCTCAATTCTTTCGAAAGTTGTGGAGCCCTGGCAGGAATATGACCATTGCAGTCAGTTTGTCACCTCCCTAGCATTGCCAATGATGTTAACTCTTCCCCTCATAGCTAGAGACCCTCCTCTACCATGTACTATCAAGGCTAACTTTGATGGTGCCTTCTCCTCCCATAAATCTGCGGGTTTTTGCAGGAATTGTGGCTAGAGAACACCAAGAATGTAGCAAAAAGAGTGTATTACCCTTTCGCTCGATCTGGATTCTCAAACTGTGGAAGTTTTGGCTTTCAAGGAGGCTAGCTCTTCTCTTGGCTAATTCTTTTCATCAACCGGTTCTAATCGAAGGTGATGCTAAATTAATCTTAGTGAAGCTCACACCATCCTCCAGGACGCTACTCGGCAATTCAGATCTTCTTTGTTAGTTACTATTGCTTTTATTTTTTGTGCATGGAATGGGGCTGCTCATAATTTAGCAATCAAAGTCCTTATAGATTGTCACTCTTTTAACCACTCTAATTGTTTCCTTCTTAGGGTCCAAGGTCATCTACAAGATCTCAACCTTTTCTATTCATGTCTATGAGATAAACTTATCTGCGTTAAAAAAATATAGATAAAATAAAAAAGAAACCCTAAATGAATCGTAAATCCAAAACAATCAAATGACTAACAAAAACAATTATATGCTATTAATTTTATTTTTATTTTTTATCATGACAAGTAAACCATTTTTCTTCTTTCATGATAAGCATAAAATTATTGATGTATATAACTTAAAATTGGATTTTAGACTTGAAAGCTCTTTTTTATTGACAGCATTGATTTTTTATTTTTATTTTTAGAATTTATTGATCAATTGAGTTAATTGTGATAGAAAGTATGCATTTTATTAATTTCTTTTTATAATATATGCTAAAGTATATTTAATTTATCTTAAAATTCACATATCGATTATTATGATGATTCAGATTCCTAATGCATCCAACAACATAGGTAGATTCAAATTCTTAACGTATCCAACGAGCTGACAAACTTTTATATTTAATCTTTGTTTAGGATGCAGTTTTGATTCACTTAATTTTTATTTAAAAAAAATAAAAAAGCATAACATATCATGGCTGAATGTTGAGTTGTAAGAACAAACCAATTAAATGAGTATGACAAGACAAAAATCGTTGCATGCTGTCATTTTTCTTTTGTTCATTATGACAAATAAACCATTTTGTTATCGTGTGATCCCCACACGGTTAATGTACTTTTCGATTCAACCATGCTGAATTGGCAACCAAAGTTAAGATTAACGTGTAAGAAACTTCACTGGCCAAAGCAGCATTTCCAGCCCAATGTTAATCAAATTCTTAATTAGCATTACGTAATCAAATTAACAGTTACAAAGAAAAAAACATGTATTATGGAATCTTAATATGGCAGAATGGTTTCATTTTTCAAAGTTATAATAATAATCATTCACTCACTCATAAATTATCCACAAAACTTGCCAAAATTCTTAATTTCATATATAATACCTTCAATATTTTTTTAAAAAATCAATTTTAATTTTTTTGACGTCATCTAGCAAAGTTAAAGACAACAGCTAGATTCTATGAAAACGACAACCGTGTACGGTAGTAGTACTTTGCGTGTTGATGTGTTTTTTTTTAATTAATTAATTAATTTATGTTCTTTCTCGGAAAGCGTGTTCAATATCTATGTACACGTAAATAATCTGAACTGAAGAAGCCCATCCATCCCAAAAAACTCTCATAGAGTTCTTTTCTTTTTGGCCTTGTACATCTCTAACGTTTAACCTGATCATATCATCCCAATCCGGAACTAAACTCTCATGTTTTTTTTATCATATAAGCCATTGTCAAGTTCACTAAAGAATTTTCAGTGCTTTCTTTTGATCATCAGGAAATCACATTGTGGTTTTTGTGCTTTGCATTGTTTTTCTGGAGATGGGTTTTTGCCCTTGTTTTGGTTTTTCTAGAGGGAAGAAGGCGAAGAGCGATAATTTCAAGAAACAACCATCACATGGTGAGTTTTTCGTTTGATAATATTGACGTAATCTCTAAATTAAGGGTGTTTTCATTTTCTTACATTTTGTTTGTTCTTCGTGTTTGGAATTCTGGATTAAATACTTTCTGTGTTCTTGATTTGATAGGCATGTATCTTGGCTATGGGAATAACAAAATTACAAACTCCATCTTGATTATGCATTATAAAATTGACAGACAAACATAATGAGGTTTAAGGTTGAGTGGATCTCTTAAAATTTGATAGTTTTAAGAGTTGTCCCTTTTAAGTTGTCTTTGTTTGCCTTAGTATTCCAATTCTTTAGACAGTATAACTCGTCGTTTTTGCTAGAAATGCAGCAATTAATCATGTTAGCAAGTATTATTCTCTTAAGGCATTGCTCTTCCAATTCAGAAGAGCCTGCTTATACTAGGAAAAAGTTATTGCTTCCATATATGAATTTCTTTTCTTCTTTTGCCCTTTGTTTTCACCTAATAGAAGCTTTTCTCTTATTAATCTAGATGGCACAGATAATCTTCGATGAAATCTTTTGATGTGATTTACAAGAGATGAAATAAGCTTGAACTGAAAATCATTTTATTGATTTGGTTGTGCAATAAGACTCTTGCTTCTCACTAGCTGTGAATTTGGCAGGTGCTCTACAAATTTAATCAGTATTTTCAGTTGTGGGATTTTTCCTCAAATCTTATTGCACGCCCCTTTTATAAGACTTATATACTTCCACTTGTTTGATCCTCTTTTACTAAAACTAAAACAGAAGCAAGATTGGGAGCTGTATCAAAAAAGGGCGTTGATTCAATAGTTAAATCAGCTGTTGTAAAAGATGGTTCCGGTGATCGTAAGGCTGCGGTGTTCTCCTATGAAGAACTTTCATTTGCAACAAATAATTTTAGGTCCGAATCTTTTCTTGGAAGAGGTGGATTTGGTGCTGTATATAGAGGAAAGTTAGAACGAACCGGTCAGGTAAAATTCGTTTAGCTCAAAATATTTTTAATTTGGTTCCCCTATTCTCGTACAAACATAGACCATTTCAATTCTTTTCTCATTTGCTCTTTAAACAAAAAAGATTTTCGTGTTATTTCTTATGTGAATTGGTGGACTAGGTCTCTTCTTTCCTTGATCACATCTAATATGGCTGTAGCAGGTTGTAGCTGTTAAACAGCTAGATCCATCAGGTATCCAAGGTGACAAGGAGTTTCTGGTGGAGGTTCTCATGCTCTCCCTACTGGATCACCCTAACCTCGTCAACTTGATTGGCTTTTGTGGCGACGGAGACCATCGTCTTCTTGTCTATGAATACATGCCCTTGGGATCCTTGGAAGATCACCTTTTTGGTATA